ATGATCAAGTTGGATTTATTCCAGGGACACAGGGATTGTTCACCTTTCACGAATCAATCAATGTGACATATCACATTAGCAGAAGGAAGGATAAAATTCACATGATCATCTCAATAGACACAGAAAAAGCATTTGACAAAATTCGACTTCCTTTCATGATAAAAACTCTCATCAAATTTGGTATAGAGGGAACATATCTCAACATAATAAAAGTCAGTTATGACAAACTCACAGCTAACATCATACTCAACAGTGGAAAGCTGAAAGCCTTTCCTGTAAATTCAGGAACAAGACAAGGATGACCACTCTTGCCGCTTCTATTGAACATAGCAATGAAGTCCTAGCCACAACAATCAGAGAAAAAAGAAATAAAAGGCATCTATATATTGGAAGGGAAGAAGTAAAACTGTCACTATTTGCAGATGGCATGATACTTTAAATAGAAAATCCTAACGTTTCCACCAAAAAACTAATAAATGAATTCAGTAAAGTTGTAGGACAGAAGATTAATATACAGAAATCGGTTGCTTTTCTATACTCTAATAATGAACTATCAGAAAGAGAAAGTTAAAATAAAAAAAAACCCAAAACCAAACAAACAAAAAATTCTGTTTAAAATCACATCAAAAAGAATAAACTAGGAACAAACTTAACCAAGGAGGTGAATGACCTACACTCTGAAAACTATGAAACACTGATAAAGGAAACTGAAGATGATACAAAGAAATGGGAAGATATCCCGTGCTCTTGGACTGGAAGAATTAATATTGTTAAACTGGCCATACTACCCAAAGCACTTTACAGATTTAATGAAATCCGTAGCAAAATACCCATGACATTTTTCACAGAACTAGAAGAAATAATCCTAGAATTTATATGGAACCACAAAAGACCCTGAATTGCCAAAGCAATTTTGAGAAAAAAATAACAAAGCTGGAGACATCATCTTCTCAGACTTCAGATTATACTACAAAGCTATAGTAATCAAAATACCATGATACTGGCACAAAAGCAGACACATAGATCAATGGAACAGAATAGAGAACCCAGAAATAAACCCATGCACCTATGATTAATTACTCTATGGCAAAAGAGGCAAGAATATACAATTGAGAAATGACAAGTCTCTTCAATAAGTGTTGCTGAAAAAACTGGAATGCTACATGTAAAAGAATGAGATTAGAACATTTCCTCATACCATATACAAAAATAAACCACAGATGGATCAAATACCTAAATATAAGACCTGGAAACCATAAAACTCCTAGATGAGAACATAGGCAGAACATACTTTGACATAAATTGTAGCAATATTTTTTTGGGTCTGTCTCCTAAGGCAAAAGAAATAAAAGCCAAAATAAACAAATAGGACCTAACTAAACTTAAAAACGTTTGCAAAGCAAGGGAAACCACTGACAAAATGAAAAGACAACCTACTGAATGGGAGAAAATATTTGCAAATGATATGACCAACAAGGGGTAATAGTCAAAATAAATAAATAACACATACAATTCAAAATTAAAAAAACCAACCAAATAAAAAACACAGGCAGAAGATCTAAATAGACATTTTTCCAAAGAAGACATACAAATGGTCAACAGGCACATGAAAATATGCTTGAAATCAGTAATCATCAGAAATGCAAATTAAAACCACAATGAACTATCACCTCACATCTCTCAGAATGGCTACCTACAATCAAAAAGTCTACAAATAATAAATGTTGTTGAGAGTGTGGCAAAAAGGGAATCCTTGTACACTGTTGGTGGGAGTGTAAAATGGTGCAGCCACTATGGAAAACAGTATGGATGTTTCTCAAAAAACTAAAAACAGAACTACCATATGACCCAGCAATTCCACTACTGGGTATATATCCAGAAAAAACAAAACCACTAATTCAAAAATATACATGCACCCCAAGGTTCATAGCAACACTATTTACAAGTATCTAAGTTACAGAAGCAACCCAACTGTCCATCAACAGATGAATGGATAAAGAAGATGTGGTATATATATCTATATACAGTGCAGTACTGGTCAGCCATAAAAAAAGAATGAAATTCTGCCATTAGCAGCAACTTGGATGGGCCTAGAGAATATTGTGCTTAGCGAAATAAGTCTGACAGAAAATACAAATACCGTATGATGTCAGTTATACGTGGAATCTAAAAAATAAAACAAATAGGGCTTCCCTGGTGGCGCAGTGGTTGAGAGTCCGCCTGCCGATGCAGGGGACACGGGTTCATGCCCCGGTCCGGGAAGATCCCACATGCCACAGAGTGGCTGGGCCTGTGAGCCATGGCTGCTGAGCCTGCGCGTCCGGAGCCTGTGCTCCGCAACGGGAGGGGCCACAACAGTGAGAGGCCCGCGTATCGCAAAAAAAACACAAAAAAACAAATAAATGTCTATAGCAAAACAAAAACAGACTCATAGATATAGAAAACAAACTACTAGTCACCAGTGGGGAGACGGAAGTGGGGAGGGTCAAGATAGGGGTATGGGAATAAGATATAAACTACCATGTATAAAATAGATAAGCAACAAGGATATACTATACAGCACAGGGAATTATAGCCACTGTAACTTTTAATGGAGTATAAAATACTGAATCACTACGTTGAACACTGGAAGTTAATATAATATTGTAAATCAACTATAATTAAAAAAAAGAACTGTTATAACATGTGCCATTTTTTGAAAGGTTAAGCAACCTTTATTTCTTTTTGGAAATCACAATTAATCAAAGGATTGGAACCCTTTCCATATTTGTTTCATGAGATTGGAAGACTCCTGCCTTTCTTCTTTTATCTTCTAAGTTTCACACTCTTTATGGGTCTCTGAAAGTTGTAAAAGGTTAAGACTGAATTTTATTCATTGGCCTTTGTATTAAGTGATAAATAATTCAGTATTAACTAATGCTCATTTCTAATTTTCTCTTAATAATCTTGTTCAGCAACGAAAAACACTGAAATGAGAATAAAAAGTCCTATATTTGACCAACAGGCAAGTAATTTAACTTTTTAATCTTCAGTTACCTTATTTGGAAAAACATGTTTGCCATGCTCTATTATGTCAAAACTCAATTCTTAACAGAGCACTAATTCAGGGCTACTTGGACAGACTGAAGGAGAATTTTGAAGAAAATATAAACTTGTCTATAAGCCAAACACCTCCATGGGAAGGTGGGTTGGCCCCTCTGTAGTGGGCAGGTGGGAAGATGAGTGCCTGGAGGTTTAAACACAGATCCTACCCTGCACATGATGTTCATTTGGTACCCAATGTAAATTCATATTCTTTTCCGTTAGAACCTAGGTAAAAACACATTTCAGGCTCTCATCCTTGAATAGATTATTATCCAGCTTATTTCAAAGTTTATCTGGGAGAAATAATACCTAAAAATAATTAGGCATTATTATACTAGGAGACAGTCTAAAGAGTGGATTAGAGCATAGGCTCTGGAAACAGACATCCTGCATTCAAATCATGGCCCCAGCTTTTGCCAGCTCCATGACCTACTATGCAACTCTACCTTTCTGTGTTTTGGCTTCTCATCTGTGAAAAGGAAGTAGCATTAGTTCTGGCTCATAGGATTGTTGTGGGGATTGAGAGAGAAACACAACGTGCTTAGAACAGTGTTTGGCACATAGTAAGCACTAAATAACTGTCAGTCAATAAGTACAACCGCCATGGACATGTTAATAACTGACCTATTTTAGGTACAGAGGTATTCTAACTTCAGTCCATGTAAGACATTTGGTCATCAAAAAGCTATATGACAAGGTCTTAGTACCTTAGGTCTAAGTATAAACTGACTTTTTCTTCAATGGTATGCCCTCAGATTTTTTAAGGATTAATACATTAAAAAATAGGAGATGAAAAAATCTTTCATTTGTTATGAGTATTTAAGATATTATAAAAGTAAAAAGATTTACTTTTGGACACAATTTTGCTTCCAAGAAAAATGTTCCTCTCTTGAAGAACTGGTATGTGTATTTCTATCAGAGAATGAGAATTATACAAAATAGCTTACTGATGTCTGACAGCTTTGACCTACAAAAACAACAGTTTCATATGGTTCAACTAATTCGCATGCCTTCATTTTTGCCTTGGCTCTCAGGAAAATGAGAGCTAAACTTAAAGCTTCATCAAAGTTTAACTATATTAATACTTGTGATCAGCATATTTGCTTTCTTCTCATCAGGCTTCTGATTATTTCAACTTTAAGAATTTGAGGGTAAAACTTAAACATTTTTGGAGGAAAGATGTATATACATAGTGATAATAATATTCTTTATACCCATGAAGGTTGTTAGAAAAATCAAATAATGTACATGAAAGTATTTTGTAACCTAAATTATAAAAATTGTGAACCCACTGACCTTCAAGTCATTGCACAAAGTTTTTTTCCTACAATTTTGTTTCTTCTTAGATTCTTTCTAAACTATTAATCTCAACATCTAAAGTCTTCAAATTCTTCCCAAAAGATTTATGATAAGACTCAAAGCTGGTCGCCATTTAGTTTTTGACCTTCACTCTGGCCCCAGCATAACTCCATACTGAGATTCTTACATCTCTCTGAATCTGTTATCTTCTCACATGTCTGCATGTCTTTGATCACACTATGCCCTTGGTCTGGAATACTTATCCACACCATTCTACCTGAATAAATACTCCTTTTATTTCAAGATTCAGTTGAAGCATACCTCAGTTAAAACGCTTTTCAATCAAAATTATCTCCCACCTAAGCTACCTTAGCTCCCCAATTAGTGTCCTTATCTCGAATTTGTCATTTCTCTAGTTCATCAACATTAGTCTAAATTACAGGTCCCATCACATCACTGAGATGCTGAAAACCACAACTCTCTTCTGACTCCAATGTAAGGCCTAAAATCCTTGACATGGAATTGAAAGCTCTTTATTAGTAGGCCCATGACTATCTTACAAGGTACAAGAGAAAAATTATGATGGAAATGAGGGGAAAAACATTTTGTAAACCTACCATTTTCTTTTAAGGGTACTTGGGATGAAGAATTTCCAGAACTATGCAAAGTCATTCCTGTGGTATAAATTAAATTATTAGACAGTTTAAAAATGGTCAGATACTATATACAGAAGTAATTTCTTCTGATAAATTCATAAAAATCAACAAAACATTAAGACAGCAACAATTTCTTTTATTTACACTCAGAAAAATAACTTGTCTCCCCACAATGGGCTTTTTTTTTCTTTTTTACTACTTTTAATGTCCAAGTTAAGCATATCAACTTGTTTTGCTGAATAAATTTAAACACAAATGAACTGTTTCTGACAATGACATTTTGATGTCATATATGAAATGATGAAACTAAAATGAGTTTTAAAAGTATCTGTTCAAATGTTAAAAGAAAGTTCAATATTCGATAAGAATGAATAATTAATCAAAAACAAATGCAGAAAATAATTTTTTTATGGTTGAACTTTATTTTACTTGTGTTTTTCTATGGAATATTCACTACTCTATATCTGATATGTGATGAATTTTTATGTAGAACAAAGCCTTCCTAATGAAAATAGCTTAGAATCTATAAGAGATCCCATTATATATGAATACACTTCAAAAATTATTTTCTGAAAGATTAAATCAGTGTCTTTTTAGGCTATTTTCAACGCATAGGGTGACCTATAAGATGGAGTCTTGTCTTTCATCTGTTTAAAGTTTTTTTAACCAATTCAATTTAAATTGATGATAGTATAATCTCTGAAAGCTGTGGAAACCTATATTAATAAAGTAATGTGGCCTTCCATAAATATTTATCAATTATAGTGTAATTCTCTTTGACTTCATTTACTCCACATATCCCCAATCCAATTACAGGGTGAGAAAATACTTTTTAACTTTGTATAGTTATGATCACACTTAGTTCCAAGGGAGAGTTAATTAGTGTTATTTAGTAAAACAACCATAGAAAAGGGTATCCTTGTTGACTGCTTGTCTGCCCAGCTGTTTCCTATTCTGAGTAGTCATTCAGACCTCTGTGCTTAAATATCTACTTTTCTAAGAGATTGATTCCCATGCAGTTCGCTTTTAAGATGCACAAAACAACAGGAATCCTTCTGTTTATCTTATAAGGTAGTGTGTATTTATAAACACAAACAACTTCTGTCTGTACTTAAATAGTTCATAGGCCCCAGCTAGCTGGGAGAAATTGAGAAAACTTAAATCAACTAAGAATTTCTACCTAACAACCATAGCACATTGCATAAAACTATCTCTTTCTAGACACAATTCCATTCTGAAAGTAACCTAAATAAACTTTTCTTAAAAAAAAATATAGCATCAGTGGAGTCTACTCTCACAGACTGTAAGGAAAATCCAAAGGAAGGCTATCCAAAGCCATGGCACCAGACTACCTGGGTTCTCTTGGTAAGAATGTCATGGCCTTTAACTGTGACCAAGAGAAAGCTAACAGTCTGTGCCATGAGGTAATCACTTGTTAAATCAATTTTTGATTTGACTTGGTACTTTTTAAGTAGCCCAAAATTTTATATTCACGAAAAGTTTTGGTAATTAGGACATACAACCAAAAATAATTTCCTGGTAATTAACACTGTCTCATTCACTTCATTATGAGCATGAGGTAAGGGAGAAAGAAGGTAAGCTTGTTTATGCTGACCTATAACATATGCTTGACCAGGGTCTTCAAAGGATGAGGAGTCTGATTCCTGTTTCCTCCTTTCAGGACTTCTATTTAAACTTGCAACAGACTTTGAACTAAAGAGGGAAAAGGAAGGTGGGGGGGAAGTGTCAGTGTAAAAAAGTATGATGAAAATAATAAATTGTCAAAACAAAAACAAAAGTAGGAAATGCAGAATTTACAAATATGTAGTTTGGGTTAGTTAAGTATGTTCTTACTTATTAAGTTTTGTGAATCCTGCCAAAGATTCCGTATCAGATCTCGCCATCTGGTGAAACGGTTTTCCTACCAACTCCGCAATGGTTTGTGGTGGGGATTCCATGTTAACAATGACATTTTTCCGATGAGGATAGAGAGAGGCCTGACTCAGATCGTGGTATGATTTACTCATCCCTCGAGGCCTTTCCTCCCAAGAAGCTTTGTCACTCTTCTCTTTTGCACCGTTTTGCAATGGCTGGTAAAGCGACAGCTCTGAGCAGGATAGCCTCTTCAGAATCTCAGCTTGAACTGACAGAGGTCGAACGGCAAGTTTGTTCAGGGTGCTGCTGGCCAGACTACCAGTGCTGATTGCTCGTCCCATATTAAATCCTCTAACGGACTCTGCTTGGAGATTCAGGCTCCTAAATGAAGCTTTCTCTACAAGGAAATAGGATTGCTTTACACGATGAAAACACCATAGAACCTTTTATGAGAAAAGCTATTTTAATAACTAAAAAACAGCATGCAATTTTTAATCATTTTGATTGCCATCAGAAGTAGGTAGCTTTCAAAGAGTGGCAATCGAGGATTTTAAAAAGGAGGTTGTAAGATTCTGGTTTTCATGCCATCTCTCCATCCTTGTAGCTTTCTCACAGCCAGGGCCTGGTCAGCATTGCCTTATTTCATCTAGTGATTTTCCTGTATCTAATAATGTTTGGGTTTCATTCAGGCTTGCTGACCCCAATACAGTTTTCAGTTAGGAAGGAGAATGACATTTGACAGAGAAAATTTTATCGCTAGTAGTGTCTCTGCTAAAATACCAGCAAACCAAGGATGGGGAGAGGGAGAGAGAAAACCTGGATAGGCCAATATAGTGAGATCATGCCTGAAAAGATCTGTGCAGAGGAGAGTTTTGCCCAGAGAAAAAGTTCTTATTATATTTTTAAAAGCTTATGGCAGATTGTGGTGATGTTCGCACAACTCTGTTAACAATGTGGATATACTAAAAATCATTGAATTGTGCACTTTAAGTGGTTAAATTGTATGGTATGTGAATTAGGTCTCAATAAAACTACTACTAAAAACCAAACAAACAGGGCTTCCCTGGTGACGCAGTGGTTGAGAGTCCGCCTGCTGATGCAGGGGACATGGGTTCGTGCCCCGGTCCGGGAAGATCCCACATGCCGCGGAACAGCTAGGCCCGTGAGCCGTGGCCGCTGGGCCTGCGCGTCCAGAGCCTGTGCTCTGCAACGTACCGCAAAACAAACAAACAAAAACAAAAACCCCAAACCCCCAAGCGGAAACAAAAGCCTTTTATGGCCTATGTTCTGTCATTTCATTACTATGCCAATACCACCTCCCCATCTTGTAGACTCTTCCTGATTTAACTGAGGCCCAGGGGCCACAAGAGAACCTCACATTACTTGTCTTTTTTGTTCCTGTTAATTAACATGATTAAGGAGCTGGGGTTCTCTTTATGCTTAAATTCCTTTCACTCCTAAATACATATCCAAAGTATTCTTTTAGGGGTCAAATTTAGAGATACCTTATAACAAGTGATTGGCTATTCTGTTTTGTGAGAACAAATGTCATGTCAGTACTGGAACATTTGAGGCTATAAACGAAAGCACTGCATCACAGAAATTTGGCATCAAACTCCTTTCATGTATATAAAGGACCAGAAGCATAGAATTTCAAATGGTTTGGCTGTTCATGCATTAGTAATCCACATCACAAGGCACCCCAATTGGTCTCCCCATGGAAAGTACCAATACAGCTTGACCACTATGTAAAACAGCTGCGAAAACTTGTTTTTTAAAAAGAGAATGTCAAATGTTGCTGATTTATATCTTAAGATTCTGTTTCATTTATCTTCTAATTCCTAGGAAGACTAATAATCAATATTTCATCTTAGGTGTAAACAGATAGGAAAACAATGCAACTCTTTCATATTCATACATCAGAATGAAGTTTAAATAAACATGTCTCTTGAGGACACAGGGAGGGAAGGGGAAGCTGGGAGAAGTGAGAGAGTAGCATTGACATATATACAGTACCAAATGTAAAATGGATGGCTGGTGGGAAGCTGCTGCATAGCACAGGGAGATCAGTTCAACGCTTTGTGACGACCTAGAGGGGTGGGATAGGGAGGGTGGGAGGGAGGCTCAAGTGGGAGGGGATATGGGGATATATATATACATATAGCTGATTCACTTTCTTGTACAGCAGAAACTAACACAACACTGTAAAGCAATTATACTCCAATAAAGATATTAAAAAAAAAAAAAAAAACCATGTCTCGGGCTTCCCTGGTGGCGCAGTGGTTGGGAGTCCTCCTGCCGATGCAGGGAACACGGGTTCGTGCCCCGGTCCGGGAAGATCCCACGTGCCGCAGAGCGGCTGGGCCCGTGAGCCATGGCCACTGGGCCTGCTCGTCCTGAGCCTGTGCTCCGCACGGGAAGGGCCACAACAGTGAGAGGCCCGCGTACAGAAAAAAAAAAAAAAAAAAAGAAATAAGGAAACTTCCTATATAAATGTAAATGTCCTTACAAAAGGGGAAATTAAAAAAAAAAACAAAAAAAAACCATGTCTCATCACCAGGAAAATTCAACATTCTTTCTCTGAAGTAGAAGTGGACACCAAGTTAAAACATAACAATTAAAAAAAACCCTTTTGTTTTAAAATTCCCAGTATAATCTTTAGCTTCAAATAAGAGTTTTTATGAGAGCAGATAACATTAATTCTATTTTCTTTTACTTTGAGAGCAGACTTTATTCAAAGACGCAAAAACTGAGTCTTAAACAGATTCAACTACTGGGAAATGCCTCTATATCCAAAAGTTTTCTTCATCCTAAAGGAAAATGTAGACCAAACTTTGGCAGGCATAGGGACCACCAGTTCAGCTTAGGTTATATCTGTTTTGTAAACATACCAAGGATTATGCTATTCAAATCCATTCATAGCTCATTCCTGGGTAGAATTTAAAGCATTGCACATATCCATGGGATGGAATAATAAACCACCCACTTATCTACTGTCTTACTGCCCTTCACCTGGAAAGGATTCCAACATGGACCACCAGGATGGGAAAGGACATTAGAATGAACCTACATCCTATTACTAATGTTTCAAATTTGAACTCAAAGTCTTTGTTAGTTCCACACTCAGTCTGCAATCCACACTGTGCTACTATTCAGTCTCTTGTACTTGTTTTGTATTTCCTTATATCATCAACTAAATTGTATGCTCTTTTGAGGAGAAAGGCTTCATTTATTTTTGTAACCCACAGCACCTAGCATGTAGCAAGTGCTCAGTAAATGATTATTAATCTTAATTCCATGCAAATTAGTTCTTTGGAAACTTATCAAATAGAAAGACTACTGGATTAGGAATTAAGAGATCACGTTCTAGTCTCCTTTGACTTCTAACTATGAGGTTAAGTGAGACACTCTTTTCTCTGAACCTGTTTCCTCATCAGTAAAATTTTGGACTTAATGGCCTCTAAGGTTCTTTCTATCACCCATATCCTATGACTCTAAAGAAGCAACATACACTTGTGACCCCATCAACCTCCAATAGATAACACCGGTTATTTTCACTTGTCTAGTACAGACAGTTAAGTAGGCAGGTAGTTACTTCTAAGCTGCTTCCAAGCAGAAAATAATTCCTTTCGAGGCTTAACAAAATCAGGGAACAGATGTAGATAATACCATCGTAAAGTCCTTTTACATATGAATTTAAGGATACATAGTTGTGTTCTTAGGGGGAAAACTGAGATATGTAGAACATTCCCACTTCATGGGTGAAGAAAATGAGACCTCAAAACGTCAGTTCCTTTCCTAAGGTTATCCTACTACTACTATAACTAGTGGTAGTCGTGGTAAAACAATGTTGATGATAAGAAGGATAATGAATATTTATTCAACACTTATTTTGTGCCGGCACTTTTACATGTATGAATTCATTTCGTCTTCACAATAACCTTATGATGTTGGTATTATCATTATGATAATCATTTTACCAGATGGGAAACTAAGGCAGAGAGTTTGAGTCGCCTGCCCACGGTTTCAGAGCTTGCAAGTAAGAGAGCGTGGTTTGAACACTGGCAGTCTTGCCCCACAGTTCATGTTCTTAACTACCACAATATATCATTGAAATGTTGAGGGTGGAAAGTTGGTTCATAGTTTTGTCTTCTGACTCTTCACTATAGCACCCTATACCACATCTATAATAATGTAACCTTCAATTTTTCAATTCTGACTTGAATAGAATATTAATCTAAGTAGGCATATCAATGGCTCTCATAAGTTTATTTCACTATACTTCTAAAAAAAAATTTATTTATTTTATTTACTTATTTTTGACTGCGCTGGGTCTTTGTTGCTGCGTGCAGGCTTCCTCTAGTTGCAGCGAGCGGGGGCTACTCTTCCTTGTGGTGCGCAGGCTTCTCCTTGCAGTGGCTTCTCTCTCTCTTTTTTTTTTTTTTAACATCTTCATTGGAGTATAATTGCTTTACAATGGTATGTTAGTTTCTGCTTTATAACAAAGTGAATCAGTTATACCTATACATATATCCCCATCTCTCTTCCCTCTTGCGTCTCCCTCCCTCCCACCCCTCTAGGTGGTCACAAAGCACCGAGCTGATCTCCCTGTGCTATGCAAGCTGATCTCCCTGTGCTATGCGGCTGCTTCCCACTAGCTATCTATTTTACATTTGGTAGTGTATATATGTCCATGCCACTCTCTCACTTTGTCCCAGCTTACCCTTTCCCCTCCCCGTATCCTCAAGTCCATTCTCTAGTAGGTCTGCGTCTTTATTCCCATCTTGCCCCTAGGTTCTTCATGACCATTTTTTTGTTTTGTTTTTTAGATTCCATATATATGTGTTAGCATACGGTATTTGTTTTTCTCTTTCTGACTTACTTCATTCTGTATATTTCACTATACTTTGAAAATATATAAGAGCATACAAATTTTTTTAGCAGAGCAAAGCAGGGAAAGAAAAGGAATAATGAGATTACGGCAACAGTTATCATATTGTAGCATGCATAAAATCACTACTGAGGAAAGCCTGTTAAAATGCAGATTCCAGGGACCCAATGCCCAAAGACTGTGATTCACTAAGTGTCACATAGGTTTCTGGAATCTTCAGTTTTAATCAGTATACAGCCCCTACCATCTTGATTCTGAAAGGCTGAGAAACATTTATTCATAGGTTGCCATCACCCCAGTCTGATCCTACATGGAAAGTTTCGGATAAAGAATTCATAGGGCTCTGCTGCACAAAGTCATCAGTGCCATTACATTTAATTTTTTAATCAAATTCTTGATTAAAAAAGTGTTTCACTGAAGTCTATAAGAATTTAATATGCAGAACTAGACTTTCTATAACTTTAATCTCTACATGTGGTCTTGCAGAGTAAGCTTTAAATATTTCAGTTCTGATTGAGATTTTCTTCAGAGCTAAATTGGTTTCTTCTGTTGGTTCCTTTTCAAAAGGAACTGAAACCGCTCTCCTGAGCACTTATATTGGTACTATGGTTACTCACGTCAGTCTCAGAACAGGGACGTGACCAAGTAAAACTGAAATCTGTCACCCCCAAAACCGTTATGGTACATGACTTCCCCATTCTGGGTGCAGAGTCCACCACCTTGTTTCCCATGTTCTTTCCCTTATCTGGAAAGCCCTTCCATTTATCGTCAACCTACTTAATTATTTTTGTCCTGAAAATTCCAATTCAAGTGCCACCACTCACATACTCTATCCTCTGATCTCCTTTTCCTCCTGTAGTGTATATCAGAGACTGTACAATAGAACCTGTTATTGAAACCTTGACCCTCTATTGTGTATTACTGTTTCATGTTTGTTGGTCTTATCTCCCAGTGCATAAGTTTACTACGGGTAGAGAATGTGTCTGAAACTTTTACAATATTTACATCAGCTAGCCTAACAATCAGCACAAAATAGTCCAATAGGTACTCCCTGACTGATGAGGGGTGCTGTTTTCAGAATAAACATGAAGTTGACATCTCAGCTTCATTTATGACACCTTTATGAACTTGACTTAGTCATTTAACATCTACATACCTTGTCATTTTCATCCTAAAAGTGGAAGTTCTTTTAAAGTTTGTGGCAAAAATCATGCATCTACCCTGGAGTCATCTGACACAGTTTGCTTCTCCTTACCGATATCCTGGGCATCTTGGTTGCTCTGTCTTGCTCTCATTTGCAGCTGGAACTTATGCTGGGAAGAGCAGAGGTGCAGCAGGTACTGGCATATCTTACTGTTGTCTGTCTGGAAGGCATGTTTTATTCCATCTGATGTATTCTGCAATGTGATTTTCTTTTTCTACAATATTAATATTAATATTAATCAAGGGTATTTAAAATTAGGATATTTTCCTATCACTTCATTGCATGACCAAATTTTAGAAACAATGAGTAAGTACAGATATTATTTTTACTTCACATTATTAGGCATGAATACTCATTGACCTATATCTAATATAAATATAGAAAAATATAACTCTGTATTATTAGAAATTTAGGAAATAAATGAAATTAATATTATTTGCCACTTTTAGAAACTGTAGCCTAAATCAGATTGTATAGACTGTATACCAGCCACCAGCAAGGGAAACAGTTTCCTTTAAAGATTACTGATATTTTGAGTTTACTGCAATGTTTACAAACACCAAAACTATTTGAAAAAGAAATTACAAGAAATATATGTTCTACAGTCTTAGATTAAAAAAAATGAAGTTCAACAAAAACTGATATTACTATGCAGTAATAAGCACTGTGATTCAGTCAAGAAAAATCTTGGTGGCATGAAGGCTGGGATGGAAGATGTGGGAAGTTAAGGAAAATGTTGGAATGCAGAAACACCGGATAACATAACTGCTGGGCTGAGAGATGAAACACATCAATATTTAGAGACAGTGATTCTTGCCAAATTCTGGGAAAGGAAAAGAATCATTAATCAGTTTTATCTCCCTGCTTCTTAAAAATGAATGTTTCATATGTAAGAGGACACCCTGAAATATTGCGACCTATGTGGTAAGGCTTGCAGTGAGCCATATGCCTTAAAAGACTAGAATTCAACATGTCAGGGATCTAAGACTAATGTCTCTGGAGAATTGCTCAAGTCCAGCTAGATTCTACTGTAGCTCTTGGCTTCTCTACTGTACAAATTATTTCCTCTATATCATGTCCCTTGTCTTGCTGTCAAATGCAGAAATAGGCTCAGACAAGTCAAATTTCGTAGACTCACAAAAGATATGATAACAGAGTATTACTCAAACTTCAATCATGCAGGTGCCATCTTCATAAGTCCTGGTCTTAAAAACAAAATAAGACTATTAAATTCTTGCTAGATGTTGTTACCAATGAAATCTCGGGGACCCTGTTCTCTCTTTCTTTAGTAAAGGAAATCAGCAAGTATTAGAGAGGAGTTAAAGCAATAGTAGCACCAAACTAGTATCCTGACTACCAGTAGCATTCCTAGTAACTCTTCAAATAGTTGGGGAATTTTTCTCCTAACAAACAGTGCATTTAACCACTATCAAGTAATTCCCAAGGATGTTGAATTCCATAGTCGTAAAGCTGTACAGGTTTGAAACAAATCATAAGGATAATTGATCCTAAGTGTTAACTGATGGACTGGACAAGAAATGTGCCTAAGGAAATTCAGTTGTAAGAGATGAGACGGGCGAAGGGTAACTTATCCATCTCCCCAGAGGCCAGTGGAAGAAAAAATGAGAGTTTAAAAAAGAGAACTCTGTGTTAGAGAAAGAACTACAGGATAAACAAGTTCTGTTAAAGATGGGAATAGTTTGCAGGGAAATGTGAGCTATTCTTTATTACTGGAGATCTTTAAAAATGAGCTAATCACAGCTAGTTCTATTTTTATTGCAGGGCTGATGTGATAGCTGGTAAATGACGGCTGAATGCTGGATGATTATTTGATTTGCTGCCCTTTTAAAACTGGTCCAAATTAGATTTGTATTTAATTCATCAAGGTTTCCTCTAGGCACTTGCTCTGCCAGCATTTTCATTGGGGAAGGTAAGTTAAACCTAGGTAATTTCCTGATCTTGACAATCTTCGGAAGATGAGGATGGTCTGCGATTTCCTGAGAGAATACATTTATTATGTGGTAATCTTAGTGGTATCTCTGGGTTTCACGGGAAACCAACCAACTAACCCTCAGGTCTAGAAATGATTCCAGAGGTCTCTAGGTTGAAGATTATCCACAGTCAGTTGGGACTTTGATATTATAACCTTATAAATTTTGTTTGTTCTGGTGAAACCATATTTCAGCCCAAATATAAACTAAAGATGTCAGTAGTCCCTGAATACCATTAGGAAAACAAATACCTGAACAGATTTTTGATTTACCTCTGGGGTTTGACAATCACACTTCAATGTTCAGATTTTCCACCTACTTCCAAAATCAAAATATGCCTTTATAGTTCATTATCTTTCATAAACATGATTTTCTAAAAATTGCTTTCCTAACTTTATCTCCAGAGACTACACACTAAAACTTAAAACTGTAGAAAGTCCTGAGGCTAGTTCATAAAAGTCAGTAAATCTCTGGACCACTGAGATTCAAATACAGTTCTGTGAGGGACCTATTACTAAACTAGACAAAGTTCACTGGGGTTAAGATAATTATCAGTCTTAAATACATTAGCGGGTTTTCTCCATGTGAGAAGTATTAGTACCCTAGAATAAGTTCTGAATTAACAGAGAAGTCAACTTGGTTGTAATTTAACTAAAGTTAATTGAGCATATAACCAGCTAAGAATTCTTTTAAAAATCACCTTCTGAGAAAACCAAAACCAAAATCTCAATAATACTTCCCACAACTAAGAAAGAAGAGTTAAATAGTAGTAAGACATATATAAGCCCTACTAAATGCCAGGGTTTAAAGTTTGCTTAAGAAAAGTCAATTAATACGTTACATTTGAAATCGACAACACCAATTTAAATGTAGAATCAAGAGAGGTTAAAATGGACATACGGAAAAAGAAATTTTCTTGGTTTCCCTCCATGGAAAGCGAAGGACCAATGTGCGAACTCCATTGTGAACCTCAAACACAAGGACACCTTTAGAACAGACTCCAAGCAGTATTCCCGTTTGTGACTTTTTCTCAGGGTGCACCCGGTGAAAATGAACTCCATATTCTGTCAGTCTTTGGCAGACCTGTTGGAACAATACCATAACATAAAAATGCACCTTGGAAAAGGTGACTTAAAGATACAGAAGTTGTACCAATATCGTTTAATATGGAAAGGACAGTCTCTTAAACAAATGTTGCTGAACAACCGGATATTCATATGCCAAGAAAATAAATCTTGACCCTTACTTTAACCAATATATGAAAATTATCCCCAAAACGATAACAGACTTAAATACAGGAGCTAAAACTAGGAAGTTTAGAAAATATTTGACTGTGGGTTAGACAAAGATATCTTAGATGGGACATAAAAAGCAGGAACCACAGAAGGAAAAATTGGTAAACTGAAGCTTCATTAACATCAGAAACTTCTGCACTTCAAATGACAGGAAAAACAAAGGCAAGTCACAGACTCGGAGATAAGGAATCGTATCTAGAATACATAAAGAATACGTACTTCTCAGATACAAAATAACCAGATACAAAAACGGGCAAAAGATTTTATTACACACATCAACAAAGAAGACATACGAACAACAAATAAACATATGAAAAGATGCTCAAAATAACAGTAATTAGGGAAATACAAATTAAAACTACAATCATAAACCACTGCTTACCTTATTTCAATAGCTAAAATGTAAAAAAAAGAAAACAAAACTAAACATACCAAGTGTTGTTAAGGGTGTAGAGCAACTGGAAATCCCATACATTACTGGTAGTACTGTAAAACTGTACAACCACTTGAGAACAATTTGGCAGTTCTGCAGAAGTAACACATGCACTTACCATAGATCCCAGCAAACCTAATGGTAGGTATTTACTCAAGAAAAAGAAAAATCATATGTTCATGCAAAAATGTGTATTTGAGTGTTTAAAGCAGCTTTATATCCATCAACTAAAGAAAAAAAAAACAAATTGTTGCATATCTGTACAACAGAAAACTATTCAGCCATAATAAACAAACTACTATACACACCACACATAGGTGAATCTCAAAAGTATTATTCTAAGTGAAAAGAACCAGACACAGAAGACTATGCAATATATGATTCTTTAAATGAAATTCTGGAAAAGAAAAAAATTATAGTGATAGAAAGCAGATCAATATTTGCCAGAGGTTAGGAATAGGGGGGAAGGGACTAAATGGAAAGGGACATGAGGGAAATTTTTGGTGTTGGAAGTGTGTTATATTTTTGGCAAACTTTTTATTTAAAGGGCTAGATAGGAAACATTTTCGGCTTTGTGGGTCACATGATCTCTGTTGTAACTACTTAACCCTGCTGTTGTAGTGTGAAAGCAGATGCAGACAATAGGGAAACAAATGAGCATGGCCGAGTTCCAATAAAAGTTTACTTATAAAATAGACAGACCACAGTTTGCTAACCCTTGTTCTTTATCATGATTGTGGAAATGGTTGCTCAACTGTATATATATTTTCAAAACTCGCTGAATTGAACATTTAACAGTGGTCAATTTTATTGTATGTAAATTATACCTCAATAAAGCAGATTTACAAAAAGATATAAAAGTTTTTCAGAGGCAATATGATATATAGCAGAAGAATAACCTTGGAAGGGTATATTAATGAGATTTTAAAAAAAATTCTTAGGTTAGAAGAAAGATGCTCAAGCTGAAGAGAAAAGGAGTAACAGGATACATTATTAGAAGAAGGGCAGCCTACTATGCATTAAGCACACTACTTATATGGGGAAAACTGAAGCTCAGAGAGGTTAAAGTACATTGTCCAAGTTTACCCAGCTGGTTGAAACAAGAATTCAAATGCAAGACTGTCTGAAAATCCCCATGAAAATTCTTTCTGCTGTGTTAATCTGTCTTCTACCTTTATTAATAAAAATATAACTTGGTATTTACTTCCTACAAGTATAAACATGTAATAACCGAGGAAAAATATAAGTACATAAGGTAATGTCTTTAAAAGTAGAGTCAACTTAAAACAAACCACCCTGCCTTTCTTACCATGAATCCTAGATTAAAGGTGGTATAAGTCTGTGAATGAAACCCCTTTATAGATATTTGTAGGGCAGGGAAACTTGGCTCCCTTCCCTTATTATGGAGCAGCAAATTTAAGGCATGCTGTTACATGCTGGGGAGCTACAAGAGGAAAATATTCTTTTCTTTTTTTGTCGGCCATGCCACAGGGCATATGGGATCTAGCTCCCCAACCGGAATCGAACCTGCATGCCCTGCAGTGGAAGCAGGGAGTCTTAACCACTGGACCACTGGGGAAGTCCCCCCAAGAGGAGAATATTCTGAATTTTCTCTTCTCAATAGAATATTATCATATATTTGCTGTTCACACTGGAAGTTTGCATAGTACTGTCTTTTCTAATCATAAATGCACTGTTATTCATCTGAGGTCTTATAGGAACATGGTGGCAGAACTGAAACTATAAATCAATTTTTCTAACCCCCTTCCCCCGTGTGAATTAGTTGGCATTAATGGAAAGACGATTTTTAGAAGATATAATTGAATCTTAAGCTTTTTAAGAAAAAACAAAGCAAAACAACTCTAGAATTAGTTTCAACTTGCCTTTCTTATCCAGACAGTCACAAAATCCAATTGTTTCTTCTTTATAATATATCTTGATTTTGAGAGTATGAAATAGGATAAAAGCATATAATCCATAGCCAGATAGATACGGGTTCAAATCATAGTTTTGCTCCACATATCAGCCACTGACTTTGGGAACATTACATTTCCTCTCTGAGCCTCAGTTCCCTCTTTTACAAAATGAGAATTAAAATACCATGGTTTTAGCCAGGAATAAATGAGCTGAGATAAAGCATATAGCAACAGTTATTGGCACCTGAGCTTTTAGATGTATGTCTTCCAACACTTCTTCCTTACTTTGAAAAAGATACAAAGTTTATCATTTGTAATCTTGCATGCTTACCTTTAAAAATTCTAACTCTGTCTCTTTTTCAGTAGCTCCCACATAGGTATTATGCAATTTCGGTAACTCTTCTTTAATATAGGATAAATCAAGTTTCTCCATCACTCTGGGAGGTAAATAATGCTCCAGTCTAAAATAAGACACACCGTGAACCTAAAAGGAGAGTGTTTGTGTAAGAAATTCTGTTTGCCCTCTTCCTCTTATCTTAAAGCTCTTGCCTCAACAAGAGATAAGGTACTCCTATTTATACTTCTCTCTGAGGAATGAGTTTTAGAGAAAGTGCATCTGTCTTTCTCTTTATTCAGTGAAGTAGAATGACTGAACTTATCAGCAAGCTTGAGGAGAGACTGACAATCAAAGGCCAAATGTCACTACAGTGAAGGATTAATGTTGTGAAGGATGCCACTTGAGTGGCACAATCTCTTCTTGCTCCCTGCTTCCTCTTAGGTCCACTTGTATTCAGGTGCATTTGGCCTTGAACATGTGCTCTCCATACAGTGAGCTCTGCTGGGTTCTCAGCCTATCACTGCATGGATCCATGTGGAAGATGGAAGACCCCTTTGATCCAGATTTGGCTGGTAACCCTTATGTCTAGTATCTGTTAGTTAGAAATAGGGAGAAGGAAAGGTAAGTGCTAGATATCCCAAAACTCTGAAACAGGATAATTTTAAACAGAAAAAAAAAAGAAAGGAAGGAAGGAAGGGAGGGAGGGAGGAAGGGGGGGGGAGGGAGAGAGAGAAAGAGAGAGAGGGAGAGAGAGAGAGAGAGAGAGAGAG